TATTCCATTGTTATCTCATTGATGGATCTTCTTACTTTACCCTTTTCAAATTATTTGTACAAATGATACACACAGAGTTAGTCTTCAACTTCTACAATTTCATGCCAGAGACTTTGATGAGAACTACTTCACATCCTGAACATCTAGTGTCCACCACTAGAAGGGGACACACTTGCTGTTACGACACAGAGCACAATTTTCTCCAAGCTCTCTGTTGGGTGTTTTGAGTATTTCCTACCAGGCAATATTAAAAATGTATCTTTAATGTTATAGCAAAATGTGAAGCATTGAGAAGTCTTTCCTTTCTCCATATTTCATATTGCAGATACACCCTCATTCCAGATGAGCTGGCTGCAGGAAGTCCGAAACCCACTATTTCCAGACACTAGCCCTGCTTCCTCAGATTGTACAGCACAGTTGTCCATACTGGAATAACAACTCTAGTGCTTATAAATAACTTTGCAGTTTACAGTGCACGTTCACAAACATGCCATTTGCACCAGGATATATTAGCAAGGTTCAGTTGGGTTCAGGTTCTGAAATAATCATTTATCACAAACATAAAATGATTATGGGACAATCCAGGTTTTTAAACAAGGAAAAAAAGGGAGGATTGTGCAACTATGCATTAACTTGTCCTGTATCGGCCATATTTTTATAGATGGTTCCTTTGCAAACTGTGGATATGGGTCTTAGGTGGATGTTCTCATCAGAATTACCAGTGTAGCACATACAAATATGGACTCTTGGGCTCCACTTCAGATCCCTGGAGTCACAGTCTGCATGTAGGTGTGAGAGGATGCGTTTCCCAAATCGCTGTATTTTTACTAAGCTCCATTAGTTGATTCTGAGGCATAGATTTGATGGTGAAATTTTGGCACTTAGAGAGTTTATTTTATGGAAACAAACATCTTTTATATTCTAAAAATCTTAAGGCTGGAGCAAATTAATTGATATCTGTCATTTAGAAGTAGCTGATAAATAACAGGAAAATCAACTGGCTTCATCACTACACTAAACTATCCATGGAATAGTGTGCTTAATTTCTATTTTTACTAGAAATACCCAACTGCATCATTCTTGGTATGAAACACTTTTCCAAAAATACATAAACCTCAGTCAATCACATTTACTTGTCAATTTTGCTTGTCTCTATCTTTCTCTTCTTTCCTTGTTTTTTAAAAAAGTTGCTTTCATTAAACTTGACAGAAGTGCCCCAAAAAACTCTAATCTGTGGAGTCTTTTGGGGAAATCACATCAGTTGGTGCTAATTTACTTCATTGAAGGATTCAGGGCTTTCAAATAATTTCAATAAATGCTTTTCCCCCCCAAATACTGATATCACTCAGGGTAGATGAATATGACGATGCTTGTCCATTTCAAGTCATATGGATAATCACTCTCACTCTGTAAGTTAGTAGAGATTGCAATTGGACAGGATGATTCTCACTAGGAGATTGGAATTCATATATGTACACATATATGAACTGGCGGTTAAGCCCAAAATATTTTTTTGATCTGCTTAGACTTTAGACCAGAAGATCCAAAAATGTGTAAACATCTCACCCAGAAGGGGGAACTCTATTGACAGGCACTCTTTGAGCAGAGGGCACTGATGTTTTACTGAGCAGTTGAGACCACAGGAAACTACCACCCATCTCCTACTCCAAGTCTTCACACAAACACCTCCCCCCGACACACACCCCCCTCTCAGAAGTTTCAGACTGTTTTAAGAATCAGTTTAGAAATGGCCTCCGACTCCTAGTGAAAGAGTTGTTCCATCTTCTCTCTTTCTATGACTGCCATCTCCTTCATCAACGTAGAGTTGTTTGCTACTAGTCATCCCCTCATCCCCATCACCATGCCTAATCTCCCTCACCAAAATGACCGTATATAAAACTCTCAGATTTTTTACAGTTCCTTGGTTTTCTCTCTTTTTAATCCTGTTTTAGACCACTTTACCTATGTTCTCATAGTTCTCTAGGGACTTCTTTCCATCCTACTCAGAGAAGGGATCACTCATAGCCCAAGTTTCACTTCAGGGTTCTGCCTACACAACAGGTACCGGGGTGCTAGCGCTATTTCCATCAAATTTTGTTTATTTGTTGTTATTTTTACTTCCTGAAGTGAAAAATAAAAGAGCAAGAAGCAAGGGCAAGAGAGGTTTCTTCTAGATGTGAGACAAAGCCAAGGCTAGTCTCAATATACTTGAGGTTCAATGTAACTCTCTTTGGTAGACAAAATTAAAGTTTACTTCTAAGTAACAGCCTCCAAATGATTGGATAAGTTATAAAACTGAAGACTGTTATAGCTCAAAATGAGCATAACCATCATCTTCAATCTTCACATTTTATATCTGAGCAAATCTTGATTTAACGTTCATACAGCACCTAGGGACACAGTTTCCATTTCGCCAAATGCAATCACATCATATTCTTTTTTGTTAACTCGTAAATAGTAAATAGAGGATTAATTTATCAACCACTTTAAATCCCAGAATCCTAACAGTAATTGTTGTCTAATTTGCTAGTAGCTATCAGATGACAAATGGAACAGATTAATGAATCAAAAAATAGACTCAAGTACGTACAAGTGTTTAACATATAGTAAAGACTATCTCAAAAATATGGCTTATCAGTAAATGATGATATAACAACTGGATAACTAACCCAAAATGATAGAGCTTCATCCATCTCTCTTATCTTACACCAAAATAAATTTCAACTGGACCACAGGAAATAAAAATATAAGTGTAAGGGCCAGTCCCATGGCGTAGTGGTTAAGTCTGGCACACTTCACTTCAGTGACCAGGGTACATGAGTTCAGATCATACGTGTGGACATACCCCATTCATCAAGCCGTGCTGTGGTGGCGACCCACATACAAAATAAAGGAAGAGTGGCACAGATGTTAGCTCAGGGCTGATCTTCCTCAAGCAAAAAAGAGGAAGATTGGCAACAGATGTTAGCTCAGAGCAAATCTTCCTCACCAAAAAAGAAATATATATATACATGTAAATGAAAATATAAAAGTAATGAAAAGTAAATGAAAAGTAAAATATAAAATATAAAAGAAGTAATCATGAGGAAGTTAAAAAAAAATCTCATGATTAGAGAAGGTCTTTCTAAATATGACAAATCCTGAAATCATAAAGTCAAAGATAGACAAAAAATTTAATTTATATTACCTTAAGTAAAAATATCCACAGCAAAGATCCACTAAAAACAAAGTTAAAATAAAAACAAGAAACAGAGGTACAAATACTTACAAATCATATTATAATTTCCCTATATGATAAAACATGATAAAAATAACAATGGTAAATAGAAAAACAGCAGACTATGAACAGTCTACAGAAAAGTAATTAAAATAACTAAATATGCAGCATAACATATGCAACTTTGCTCTTATTAAAAGAAATGAACATTAAAATTTAAATAATATACCATCTTCACTTCTCTAGCTGGCAAAGGTCAAAATGTTTGTTAACAAATTGTGTTGGTGGGGTTGTAGGAAAAAAGGCCCTCTTTTGTATTTGGCAACAGAAGTAAAAATTGTTACTGGCATAGAGGACAAATTATCACTAACTACCAAAACCCCAACAAAAAGACTCCTTATTCCAGCATTTCTGCTTTTAGGAATTAAGGCTAATATTTGTTATACATTAGTAAAATTATGTTGGTTCAAGAGTATTAACAGAAGCACTGTGTTGAACTAGCAAAAATTTGGAAAAGACACTGTATGTCCAGCAATAGGTGACTGATAAAGTACATTTTGATAGATCCTTACAATGGGATAACACAGAGATAGATTAAGTGTAAATAAATAGTAAGGCATTGAATAGTGCTTACACTACCATCTGTATGTCTGCATATACTATGCTAGCACCTGTATATAAGAATGTTGGTATATATGCATCATTTGCTTGATATGCATAGAGTGTCTCTAGAAATATGCACTATTTTGCTTGTTGGGAGGGGTCTTGGTGGATGGGAAACATCCACCAAGAAAAGGGGTACCTTTTCTGCTTTTTCAATTTTGTAAGGTATTTTTAATTTAAGGTACATTAAGTCAAAATACAAACTCAAATCCAACGTTTGTTATCATTATCACACTTTTGCAAACATTTTGCTATTCCTCTCAACTTTAGGTAATAAAGGTTTTTATATTTATACCTCACTTCACATAGGAACTCTGAATATAGAGATAAGATATGATATAAAATAGTCTCTTTGATTAATTTCAGCTAGTTTCTAGTAAGGGGTCCCTGAGATCATCACCTCTGGAGCTTAGAAACTTCCAGGCAAATGTCATTTTGTAATGAGACTTACTGTGCCTCCTTCCCCTTACTTTCCCCTAGTAACTAACACTTGTGAGCATCAGATATAAAGTCTGTTCATGTAAACTTCTTATACTACTATTGTTGTATTTAGATATAAAGGTTATATTTATAATAATAGTGTAAGGTAAGTATTTAGCTATAATTTTGTTTTTTTCTTTAAGATTGGTGAGTTATATTTGCTTGAGGACCAGGCAAAAATACCTGGTCTCCCAGGTGTGTGTGCTTAGGCAGCCTGAGTACTAGACACCTGGTCACCATCAGTCCAGCCCCTCCTTGTATGGACTCTCTGATTAAGAGTCACACTAAACCCAATTGGCCCTCTAAGAGAACTGGGCCATGACTGGAAAGGCCTATTGGTGGATTCTCTCTGGATAAGAGTGGGGCAACTGGACTAATACAGTAGTCCCCCCTTATCCTCAAGAGACATGTTCTAAGAGCCCCAGTGGATGCCTGAAACTGTGGATAGAAGCAAACCCTATACATACTATGTTTTTTCCTATACGTACATGGCCATGATGAAGTTTAATTTACAAATTAGGCACAGTAAGAAATCGACAGCAACTAATAATAAAATAGAACAATTATAACCATATACTGTAATAAAAGTTGTGTGAATGTGGTCTCTCTCTCTCAAAATATCTTACTGTACTGTACTCACCCTTCTTCTTGTGATGATGTAAGATGGTAAAATGCCTACGTGATGAGTTGAGGTGAGATCAATGAATGAGATAGGCTTGTGGCATAGCATCAGGCTACTATTGACCTTCTAACTATTGTCAGAAGGAGGATCATCTGCTTCTGGTCACAGCTGACCACGCGTCACTGAAACCACAGAAAGCAAAACTTCAGATAAAGGGGGACTTCTGTCCTCATTGTGCTACTCCCACACGTGTTAGGGACCATTGATGGTTCTAATGAGGGGGCTCTGAGTAGGCTCCTGGATAGAATTTCTTTCCTTCCTCTGGCCTGAGAAGAAAAGATTCCTCTTTCTGAGGACAGAATCACCACTCATTTCCAACAGTCTGCGTGAACCCTAACCTCCTGGAACTGAGGAAAATCACTAACTTCCAACACCTCTCTTTGGCCAGGAGCCTCCATTTTTTCCTCTCTACTGGTCTTGGGAGTAAAAGGAGGTGACATAAAAGTTAGCTTTGTTTTTATTCATATATTGGGTCTGTGATACTACCTGAAAAGTTGTTTCATCTAAAAGACAAAGGAGCTACTTAGTTTTATGCCTGAATCTGAAAAATTAGTTTTTCTTGATACTAAGAGACATTCACGTCATTCTTTTTATTTAGTCAAAAACCGAGGGACATTAACAATGCTGTGACATAATAGAGAATACATATTGTTCTCTGCCCCATGTTCCTGGCATAGAGCGCCTAAACTCTTGTAATTTCCTAAGTAATAAGAACATTAGGAGCAACTCTTGTTCTAAAATTAGTCTTTGATCTCTGCTCCTGACACAGAGCTCCTGAAACCCTTGTAATTTCTTGAGCAATAGGCATATCTTTTGTTCTAACGAGCTGACTCTGGGTGGGCTCTCGTTGGCTCTTAGATGGGGACTGGTCACGAGAAAGACCAAGCCATGATACAAAGCCTAGACTGGGTTTATGGCAAAAGCCTGTGGGCACCTCCCAGCAACAACTACTGGAGCATTGGATTAGAGAATTTCCACTTAGGGTATTTACCACCTTGCTATCAGACACTAATTAAAACTACCCTGATGACAGAAAGACATAAAATGATCTTAAAACCTGAAATACCCATAATGTCTAGGGTGATGTCAAAGAAACACTCTAATGGGGATGGCAATGCCCAGAAGAGTTCCATAATAAAATGGAAATGGTTTCTATAGAATCAAGCTGCCTGGGGAATGCAAGGAGGAGATGCTCGTGAGCAGGGAGCCTCTTTTCCCCCAGCACTGACTCTGGAACTGTGTGAGGAGCTACTGGATTGCATTGTCGCTTGGACAGTACCCTACAAACAGCTCTCCACTGACCAACAAGGAGCTGCTTGGTTTGTGGATGCAGTTCCATGGTGAAAGGACAACATCTTGTTTGGAAGGTCACCACTCTGATCGATGAAGGGAAAAACAAATCAGCTCAGTGAGCTAAATTGCACGCTGTTTTCCAAGCAGTGATGGAAGAATTGAACAGTGGAAAAAGTTCCTATTTTCGGTTTTTACTGGCTCATAGGAAGAGGCTAAGTTGCCGGGCCATATGGTCTGGCAGGAGGACCATGGAAACCCGGCCTATTAAAGGGATGCCCATATGGGGCACAGCCTTATGGAAATTTGAGGGGTGCTTTAAAGTAGCACATGTCAATGCCCATCGAAAGAATTCCTTTCCAGGTTTAGAAGATGACTGAAATCAACAAGCAGATGTCCCGGCATGCTCACTGAAGGTGGCCACCGTGGCCATGAAGTGAGTGGACGTGGTGGCACTGCAACAGTGCCGAGATGGGCTGAATCTAGACATAGTCCTCTTGCACCCTCTGAGGCACAAGATGCCAATAAGAACTGTTCTGTCCTCCAGTAGAAGAGATGGAGACTGCAGATGGCTATGTGGCAGATTCCCTGGGGGAAGGCCCTGGTCATAGCTGGCAAGGGAGACTGAAGCTGGTGGCCCCGTGGGGATACACATGGGTCCTTACAGAAATAGACACTGACGCTAGGATGAGCTTTGCTTACCTGGTGGTAGATGCAAAAACTCAGAGTGATATAAAAGAAACGGAACAGAATATATTTCACCAATATGGAAGGCTGACCATCGCTTCTTTAAACCAAGGAACACACTTTATAGACAATAAGGTCCAACAATGGGCAGAGAGACTTTGCTTCAGGAGATCATAGCAGCATTCTTGCTAGGCTTTAAGCTTAGGGAAAAATAAATTCCAAATGGGTGACTGGGGGGGATATGTGATCTGCTGATTCTCATAAACATTATACCAGATTGCTTGTGCTTTTGGACTCTCTGGCCAGAAGGGAATATGTTACCGGGCATGAAGGCAAGGGGCTTAGGAACGCCGGGCCCTTGCAGGAACAGAATGCTGCCTGCATACATTGCTGATTGTCCTTAAGGTACTCCCCAAGGGAATGACCTGGGATTGTCTGGGTGCTTCCGGGGATAAAGAATAGAACCTTTGGACTCTGGCTTGCATGTCCCTGCAGGCATGATTTCCTGCTATTGTAATGGCTTGTGATTCTTCACCTGCAAATAAATATGTGGCGATCTGATGGACCTCACCTCAGTCCTTGAGGCTGATGGTCCCTTGTCCAATTGAATAATATAGATTTTGTTCTGTCTGTTAATTCCATCCACCCCTTTGGCTGGCTACCTAGCTGGTCTCGGCAGCAAGATGTCCTCCTCAGAGCACTAATTTGATAGACAGTTGGAGAGGGCAGTTGAAACACTGATTGTCTGAAATGGGAGGAGATAAAGGCAGCAAGGGCTGGCTTATACACCTTCATGAGTGCGTGCTCACGTTCAACATGGCTTGAGTGGGGCCAAATGAACGTCTCCATTGGATAGACTGCTCTGTTTTGGTGGATCTGGGGAAGAGGAGGTGGGGAAAGTGCTGGTGTAGTCTCTTCCCTACATCACCTCAACTTTTTTTAACCTTACTTGGTGCAGTAGTCATAGGACCAGGGCTGCAATACAAGGGCTGGAAACAGGAATGATTCCTAAGTAAGAAATTGCAACTATACTTTAAACCTTATGTCAGAATTTCTAAGGGCCTGATGGGGCACAATGTACCTTCACCAGCTCTTGCAAAATTGGGGCCAATGGTGAAAGCAGCTACACTGCTTGGTGGTAAAGATAGCCCACTACTTCTGCACCTGTGTCAGCGTAGCTTATGTGAACAGGAGAGGACCAAGGGGGAAGCACTTGCTAAATTAGTAGTATTGCCAGCAATCTAGAGCAGCAGAGTGGTCAAACCTAACGTCTCTCCCAAAGGTGAAAGAGTTTGGCTATAAATGGAGAGAAGGAGGAATAGTAGGTAGGGGTAGAATAAGGAATAAATGAGTCATATAATAAGGGAAATCCATATTACACTAACATCTCCAAAAAGGCTCAGGGAAACAGGTGATACTGTCTCTTAGTTCAGTTATACCAGAAGCATGAAAAGGTGAAGCCGTGTTTGTGGAGACCACTTCTGCTTTTGGAACTTGATGAGATCAAACGGAAGTCTGCAAACCTGAGTGGCCTTGCCCTGGAAGACATTTTTTGTATGATATGATGATGGACTGGAATGATTATTAATGATTGTGTGAGATTCTAGTAATGTGCCAGTATCTTTTCAGTTATGTATCATTTTACTATAAAGCGTTCATGGCGAGATACCAGGGGGTGAGCTGTAGCTGTGAGATAGTAGAAAATATATATTGGTCTCTGTCCCTGGTTCCTAGCACAGAGCTCCCAAAACTCTCGTAATTTCCTAAGTGATAAGCACACTAAGAGCATCTCTTGTTCTAATATTGGTCTTTGACCTCTGTTTCTGGCACAGAGCTCCTGAAACCCTAGATAGTGTCAGAATTGAGTTGAATTGTAGGACATCCAGCTAGCTTCACAGAAAATTGCTTGGTGTAGGGAAAAACCTCCACACACTGGATGACCAGAAATAAAGTGTTTTGTGTGAGTAGGAAAGGAAATTCCCAGGAAGAACTGCGTTTTCCCCTACAGGGTTGGAAAGCTGAGTTTTCCATTTTTGGATGCCGTGTCCTAAAGAGGAGTTAAATAAATATTTGTTGAATTGAACAGAATGTACGTGGGACCAAAATGATAGTTGCATCATGACCATCCCTACTCAAACAGAAGGCTAGCCATACAAAACACGAAAACTCTGCTCTACATTTTCAATCATTCTTCATAAGGAGAAAATAATCTCTAATTAAAGTGAAGTTTATTAATATTCATGCAAAAATAATATGCAACCCCCTCTCCCAAAAAGACTAGTTCTGTATGATTGCAGTAGATCTAATCAGTTACAATTTGCATGGCTTCTTTTTTTCCCCCGGAAAACTAACTACATTTACATGATCAGCACAACACACATAAAAATATGTGTTAATCTGACTCGATCTGAACGATACCAAGTGTTACAAGTTTCACAGAGCTGATTTCGCCAGGTGGAAGTGCTTGATTCCTTTCCCCTTGCAAAGTTTTTTTAAATCATTTTGGAATTTAGGAGCTAGTGATAAGCTTAATTAAAGTGAAGCAGAAAAAAATAAGTATTGAAAGGAGTTATTTTAAGATACCTAAATTTCAGTAAGTCATTATGCCAAATAATTACGGGTGTTGAAGAAATTTTCAAACTTTCTAATGTTCACTTGTTATCTTTATTCTTTTTTTCCTTTGTCTGATTCCAGGATTTAAGTTCCCTTTGAAGGCTGAAAGTAAATTGTTGGATTTACTGTCTCTCCCACTTTGAGTTTTTTGAACTAACACTTAAAATTTTTTTTTTATTGCAGTAACATTGGATTATAACATTATATAGCTTTCAGATGTACATGGTAATATATTTCGAATTCTCTGTAGATTACATCATGTTCACCACCCAAAAACTAATTATAGTCCATCGCTACACATGTGAGCCTAATCATCCCTTTTGCCCTCCCCCCTCCCCCCCTTCTCCTATGGTAATCACCAATCCAATCTCTGTTGCTATGTGTTTGTTTGTCGTTGTTTTTACCTTCTACTTATGAGTGAGATCATATGGTATTTGACTTTCTCCCTCTGACTTATTTCACTTAGAATAATACCCTCAAGGTCCATCCATGTTGTCACTTTTAATCAAGAGGTGGCATAGTGGTTAAGTTC